GCTGACAGCTCAGAGCCTGGAGCCTGCTTCGAATTCTCTGTCTCGCTCTCTCTCTCTACCCCTCCCCTGCTTGTGCTTGTGCTCTCTCTCTTTCTCTCTCTATCAAAAATAAACATTAAAAAAATTATTTTAAAGAAAAAAGAAAAAAAGAGATAGAACGTAGAAAGTGTCCTTATACATTTCAATTCTTAGTTACTATAGCTCCTGAGTCCCCAAACCTGCCCTTAAATTCCACAGGAAACATCAATAGATTTATAAATCTATTGCATATTATTCAGATGTTCAGAACTGTTTTTATTATTTTCATCTAAATAATCAAATAATTAAAACAAAAAAACATATATACTCTTGAAAGAAATAGTGCAAGTAGTTAAATAGCTACTCCTTTAGTCAGTATAGATATACCAGATGGTAACCACATTACTATTTTGATATATTATTTTAACCAGCATTATATGCAACTATTGCATTCTGTTAACTAATGTACTTTGTATTTAAAGTTAAAATAATGGTTTCAATTATTTACCTCTGAAAAAATCTTTAAAATCATTCAGGCCCCATGCTTATCTCAAGGTTTTCTGAATTTTCAAGTTTATTACATTTCCATAGATAAACAGTCTACTCTAATAATGGCTTACTATGACTTAGTGTCTTACATTGTCTTCAGATTTTTATATTTTTCTTTTTGTCAATACGGTATATATACAATCTTTTTTTGAGGTGTCTTGTCATAAATGCATAACATATTTTGTATATAATATTGATAGCTAACATATTAAATAATTTGATAAACCCTATATCAATGAAAATAAGATACTTACATTAATAAGTATGCCATATCATGGGACCTCTGAAACAAAAATTGTTCTTTCCATGACACAAATCTTTGTAGTACTTCATTAGCATCCCCACTAAGCGAAATCTTATTTTGATCAGACCAGAGCTCCAAAGAAGTTAGCATAACTGTCACTTTAAGCTGGGAAAATATCTGAAAACAGAAGATACATAATATACAGTTTTAGGTTATCATAAATATAACATTACATCTCTATACATAATGCTAATATATATTCAATTTACACTTTTTTGGAGATGAAATCCATTGGTGGATGAAACTAGTTGGTAGGACTATACTTTCAAAAAACCTGGAAATGCTACATATACAAACAATATTACTGCATTAATATGGAATGTTTCTTATTTAAATGAAACATGAATACTTACAGTGTTGATTACACCAACGATATGGACAACTTTCTCAGTTGCAGCTGCTACTTCAGAGCCCATTAAATCAAACTGAAATACAAATTTTGTTTCTTAATCACTAATGAAAATTACTAAACTAACACATTTTAAATGGATACAAAATGTTAAAATAATGCAATGCTCAAGTGAAAGGGAAAAATAGAATTATTATCAAGGCTTCATAAGTTTTAGGCATAAACCTAGGGACTTTACATATTAGTCAATAACCTTAAAGTAAGAAGATTGTGATTACCTCTTACATATACAGAAAATAGTCAAAAGGATAAGAAGCAGAACTCTTACATATACAGAATGTAAGAGAATGTAACCTTAAAGTAAGAAGATTGTGATCATCTCTTACATATACAGAAAATAGTCAAAAGGATAAGAAGCAGAACTCAAGTCTCCAACTAACTAAACTACTGTCTTTTTTTTTCTGCTATAGTATGCTGCCATCATCTGCCTTCATCCAAATAAGATGACATGACTGTATATCCTGGATAAGGAGTGTACTTTCTAAACACAGAGCTCTGAGGGCCATAATAGTGAATAATTTCAAGAATATGTCCATTCAAAGAAACAAAAATCATATTTTCTCTAAATATTTCTAATTATGTGTGCACACATTTGTAGGTGTTAGCTGAAAACATAAAATTGGCAACTTGGTATCTTCAATAATTTCCAACAAATCTATAGAAGACTACTAACAGAAAATCAAATGTGATGGATAGAGTTCTCTGATATGGCCAAAAGATGTTATCCTCCTAGGTCTTTAAAGACTATTTATGGGGCGCCTGAGTGTCTCAGTTGGTTAAGTGCCTGACTTTGGCTCAGGTCATGATCTCATGGCCCTTGAGTTTGAGCCCCACTTCGGGCTTTGTGCTGACAGCTCAGAGCCTGGAGCCTGCTTTGGATTCTGTGTCTCCCTCTCTCTATGCCCTTCCCCTGCTTGTGCTCTGTCTCTCTCCCTCTCTCTGTCTCAAAAATAAATATCATTAAAATTTTTTTTAATAAAATAAATACTATTTATACTTTGCTATTTCTCTGTATATAAACTTTCACAATAAATGATACTGTATATTTACACAGTGCAGCATGGGTGGTATGAGTGAAGGTGACTGATCCTTTGCATAACTGAAAATATGAAAAGCAAGACAAAGGAAATAAAAAATATGAGTATGGAAATAAAACCATATATGTCAATAATCACAAATTATCAACAGACCAAATAGTAGGCAAATGACAGAGACTATTAAAATCTACTATGTGCAAATTAAAATAAAAACCTCTAAATTATATGTACATAGAGATATTAAGAGTCAAAGCATGAAAATATATACAAGTAAAATAATAGACAAAAAGCGTATGTTATATGATAGTTATATTACTTAATATAAGTTACATTAATATGAAAAAACAAAGCAAAAAATGGACATAATAATTATTACAATGCATTGATAAAAATATTCAATTATCAGGAAACATGAAAGCATTTTAAATTTGACTATAACTAATAACATAGCAACAAAATGTATAAAATAAAATTTAACAAAATTATAAATAGAAATTGACTATCAGGAATTTTTACGTAGTTCTCTTAATCATTCATAGATCAAGCAGACAAATTAACAGTAAACACAAGAGTTTGCAAAGGCAGAGATTATCTGAGCAGAGAAAAAAAAAGACCTATCAATATTCTGTTTACAAAGCTATACTTCAAAATTTAAGACAGATAAACCAAACATAAAAGAAGAAATACTAATCATAGCATATTTTAAGGAACTCTTGGAATTTTTTGTAGTTGTTTTGGGGTTTCTTTGTTTTGTTTTGCATGTCATTTGCATTGAAAATGACTTCTGTTCTTATTGGAATAGTAAGAGTATCCAGCTAAATGGAGAAAGAAAAAAAGGCTATTTAGATTTAATTAGCAGCCCTTGGGGGCACTATGCTTATCTCCTCCTTTGGAAAAAGCTAGATAAATATCAGATCATTCTGAACACCCAAGAAATCTATCTGAGGACCTTCAGAACAAACTGCCTGACTAGGGAGAGAAGAGGCCATATTGTGTAGGGTAGGAGGTGCAGAGATGTGATTTGGCTGGTGGGGGGGGGATCAGAATCATGGGTGCTGCAGAGGGGAAGGATCCCTGATTTCAGAGAGAGAGAGGAGAGAAAGAGAGAGAGACAGGCAGACACACAGAGACAGAGAGAGAGAGAGAGAGAGAGAGAGAGCTCTAGTGGAAATAGGATCAGGCCTCTTTTCAATACAGCTTTTAAAACTCGCCACACTCTGAACAAGGTCCAAACACTCTTCACTGCAGGCAAGGAAAAGCTCTGCCAAGAAATGAACGGAAGGAAAGGGCAACCAAACACAGCAGCAAAGTGCACACATCATATGCCAGAAACACTTCCTGATGCATCAGGCCCTGGACAGTAAATGACCTCTTCTTAATAAAGTGATTACTTCCAGGAGCAGGAAACATAAGAGGCTTTCCTAACACACAGGATAAGACAGACCTAGACAAAATGCCAAGATGGAGGAACACATCCCAAAAGAAAGAACAAGAAAAGGTCATGATCAGGGATCTAATTGAAACAGATATAAATAATATGTCTGACTCAGAATTTAAAAACAACAGTCATAAGGATACTAGCTAGGCTTGAGAAAAGCATAAAAGACACAGGGAGTCCTTTCTATAGAGATAAAAGACCTAAAAACTTCAGAATGAAATAAAAAATACTGTAACTGATGTGAAACCAATTGGATGTAATGAGCACAAGGATGGAAGAATCAGAGGAAAGAACAAATGATGAAACATGATATTATGGAAAATAATGAAGCTGAAAATAAGAGGGATTGAAAGGTGCTGGATCATGAATGTAGACTTGGGAACTCAGTGACTTCTTAAAGGATAGTAACATTGGTATGATAGGAGCCCACAAGAAAAAGAATAAACTATATGGTCAACTAATCTTAGACAAAGCAGGAAAGTATATCCAATGGGGGAGAAAAACAATCTCTTCAACAAATGGTATTGTGTAAAATGAACAGCAACAAGCAGAAGAATGAAACTGGACCACTTTCTTACACCCTACACAAAACTAAATTTATAATGGAAGAAAGATCTAAGTGTGAGACAAGAAACCATCAAAATCCTAGAGGAGAACACAGACAGACAGATAGCAACCTCTTTGACATAGGTTGTAGCAACTTCTTACTAGACACATCTTGGAGGCAAAAATGAACTATTGAAACCTCATCAAGGTAAAAAGCTTCTGCACAGGGAAGTAAATAGTCAATAATACTAGAAGGCATTCTATGGAACGGGAGAAGGTATTTGCAAATGACCTATCTGATAAAGGGTTAGTATCCAAAATCTATAAAGAACTTTTATCAAACTCAACGCCTCCCAAAAAAATCCAGTTACATAATGGGTGAAGATATGAATAGACATTTTTCCAAAGAAGACATACAGATGGCTAACAAGACACATGAAAACATGCTTAACATCAATGATCAACAGGGAAATACAAATCAAAACCACAATGAGATACCACCCCACACCTGTCAGAATAGCTGAAATTAAAATATTAGGAAATAACAGGCGTTGGCAAGCATGCAGAGAAAGGGGAACCCTCTTACACTGTCGGAGTGAATGCAAACTGGCTCAGTCACTCTGAAAAAACAGTATGGAGACTCTTCAAACAGTTAAAATACTACTACCCGATGACTTAGCAATTGCACCACTAGGTATTTACTCAAAGCATACAAAAATACTGATTCAAAGGGATACATGCACCCTGAAGCTTATAGCATCATTGGGAACAATAGCCAAGTTATGGAAAGAGACCAAGCATCCATTATTTAATGGATACAGATGTATGTACATCTTTGTACATGTACATGTACATCTATGTACATCTTTGTACATGTACATGTACATGTACATCTATGTACATCTTTGTACATACATCTGTATCCATTAATAAATAATGGATGCTTGGTCTCTTTCCATAACTTGGCTATTGTTCACATATATATTCATATATATTACATATATATATTGTTCACATATATATGCATATATATGTATATATATATATATACATATATATATACACTCAGCCATAAAAAAGAATGAAATCTTGCCATTTGTAACCTGTAGATGGAGCTAGAGTGTATTATGCTAATCAAAATAAGTCAGAGAAAAACAAATACCATATAATTTCACTCATATGTGAAATTTAAAAAACAAAAAACAAGAGATGACCATAGGGGAAAGGCAAACTATAAAAGAGACACTTAAGCATAGAGAACAAACTGAAGGTTGCTGGAGGGGAGCTGGGTAGGGGATGGGTTAGATGGGTGATGGGTATTTAAGGAGGGCACTTTTTGTGATGAGCACTGGGCATTATATAAGTGATGAATCACTAACTTCTACCCCTGAAACTAATATTACATTATATGTTAACTAACTAGAATTTAAATAATAATTTGAATCATTAAAACAAAATGAAAAAAGTTCCCAAAGGGCATTAGCTAGTAAATCAGATTAAATTATATTAAATATTTTATTAATTGGATATTGTGAACATCAAAATTAAATTGAAATAATATATTTCATTAATAAGTGGGAAATAAAGCATTATAAATTAATTTACAAAATAGCATATATAAAACAAGGTATATGAATACATACAAATATGCATGTACACATTAAAAACAGGATGTGTGCATATGATTTATCACCTGGTAATAAAACTATATGTGCTTTTTTATTATTTATTTATTTTGTCTATCTATTCTTTACAGTAAGTTACTGATTTTTAAAAATTATTTAAAGACCTAAATATTTCCTTTTATGACATTATGACACTCACTGAGACACTTTACGCAAAAATATCAGTGATAATGGACAAATCTGATCTTTTAACTTTTTACTCATATGACTTTACTCAAACTGATTACATAAACAAAAATTTCCATAACTAAAAAAAATTCCTATGAATAAACCTCATTTTTGAAATACGAAACTTCCACTAGAGAACTCAAGCAATTGTACACATAATCTTATAAAAGATAATATTTAACAAGGATCTCCAATTGAGTAATAAAATAGCTTGTGTTAAAATGGAAACTTACTTAAGGAAAAGAGTTTACCACAATTTGGAGCAGATTCAGAAATTTCTATAGCTAGCTGTAATCCAACAGATTTAGTGTAGTAGAACCCTTCCATACATACATATCTGTACATTATTGCTAGAATTCTATAATGATTTGGAAATCAACATCATAGATATTGGTCCCCATATGTCAATGTAAAACCAATGGACAACATTTTTTTTTATGTCTTGCTATACAGAGATACATAATGTTAACAGAGGATAATACCTGTATTGCAACCAAGGGAAGTTTCTTTTTCATATTCCCTTTGAATTTAAACATAAGACAAAGATATGATGAAATATATCAGTAATACGCACCAAGGCTTTATCCATAATGATTTGAATTTTCAGAATTCTTTTCAATAGCTCAACATCTGATTTTTTCTGTGAAACAGAGGACATCAGTTAAATAAAACATTTTTTTAATTCTTATATTGTTCGTAATCATCATCTACATTAATTACAAATATGTATACATATATATATAGACATACATACACAAAGAGAGGTATAGATACATATAAATACAGATTCATCAAGATATAAATAATAGGAAAATAAAAGAATAAATGCCCACTGAATAAATAAGCAGGTGAGATTCCAAATACAAATTCTAGGAACAAATCAGAAGCTTTTACCTATATTCTTAATCATTAGAATCCTCAAAAAGTTACCAGAGAAACCATGTTTCTTTCCTCTTAAAACCTTCCTCCAAGACCCTCCCTCTGCAACCTTCAAACTAAATAAGTCCCCATCAATTTTACACCAGATGTTTGCCTCTATTTTCTCATTATTTTTATTATCTATATTAACTTGTGGCTACACTCAATAGAATGCATCCATTTTTAGAATACAGTTATATGAATTAGTACTAATGTAAATATCCATGTAATAATTTCCATAAGTAAGATAAAGAAAATTTCTATCATGTTCTTCAGTCAATTGCCCACATGGCTCAAGGCAAGCAATAATCTGATTTTCTCACCACAGGGTAGAGAATTTCATGTAACTGGAATCATATGATGTGTACTTTTATATCGGACTTCTTTCACTCAGAATTCACCCATGTTGTTGTGATTGTTAGTAATTCATCAGTTCTTATTACTAAGTAGTGCACCATTTTAGGAATACAACACAACTTTTTCATACATTTACCTGTTGATGATGTGAAAGGTGAAATAAAACGGAGTCACTTACATCAAGGGGTTTTAAAATGAAACTGGGAGGCCATTAAGGAGGTGGGCCTTATGTACCTCCTCACTGGATGGAACCACAAATTTCTGAGTTGGATCCAAACTTAAATATTCCAAGGAGTCTGCACAAACATCTGCAACTTGCTATAGTAACAAACTTTTGCTTAGTGACAGCCTTAGCAGCCAATTATGTTTAGCCAAGTTTAGTTTTCTGCCAACATCCAAAATCTTTGTAAGCAACATATGCAAGCATCCCCTTTCATCTTTAAAATAAAACCTTCACTTTTGTTCCCTAGGGGACAATTGGATTGCTACCCAAATCTGTACTCACCAAATTGCATTTCTGAGACCCCAAATAAATGCTTTTATTTTATTTCATTTCAGCTCCTTTCTCAGTTGACAATGATCATTTGGATTATTTAGCCATTTTGGCTAATTTTTTTTATTTTTTTTAATGTTTATTTATTTTTGAGAGACAGAGTGTGAGTGGGGGAGGGGCAGAGAGAAAGAGAGAAAGACACAGAATCCGAAGCAGGCTCCAGGCTCTGAACCGTCAGCACAGAGCCTGACGTGGGGCTGGACTCACAAGCCATGAGATCATGACCTGAGCCGAGGTCGGATGCTCAACCTACTGAACAACCCAGGTGCCCCCCATTTTAGCTATTATAAACAAAGCTGCTATGAATATCCATGCACAGATCTTTGTGCAGTTAGCTATATTCTTTCATTGTTCTTGGTAAATATCTGAAGATGGAATACTTGAGTTATGTGATAATTGTGAGTGTGTAAAGTAAATACAAAAGTGCCAGATTGCTTTCTAAAGTAGTTTGATCATTCTGCATTTTCACCCAGAATAAGAGTCCCAATTGCTCTTCATTTTTGCCTATATTTGATATTGTCTTTTCCATCATTTCCATTTATTGGTGCATGCTGATATCTTATTGAGGTTTTAATTGGCAGTTCCCTGATGCTTAATGTGAAACAGCTTTTCACATGTTTATGGCTCATTAATTTGGTTTCTCCTAAGTTCCCTACTAGAAATTTTATGTTTTGATATTTAAGCCAATGCTCTAATTCAGTTTTTTAAATAAGAGTCAAGATTCATTTTATTCCATATGGATGTCCAGTCTTCTAGCAGCATTTAATGCAGACATTATTCTTTAACCTTTTAAAGTCCCCAGCACCTTTGTGGAAAATCAATCTGCCATTAGTATGTGGGTCTACTTCTGACCTATTCTGTTCCACTGATCTATATGTCTATGCTTACACCAATCACGGTATATATCTCTATAGCAGGGGTCAGCAAACTATAACCCAAGGTATGGCCACCTGTTTTGTAAAAAATATCTTATTGGAATAAAGCCACACCCATTTGTTTATATGTTATTTATGCTGCTTTCATGCTACAAAGGTAGAGTGAGGTAGCTGCAATAGATCATATACCTCACAAGCCTAAAATATATACTACCTAGCCCTTAAAAAAAAAACAGAGGTAATGTAAGTCCTCTATTTTGTTCTTATTTTTATTTATTTTTTAAATGTTTATTTATTTTTGGGAGACAGAGAGACAGAGAGCAAGTGGGGGAGGGGCAAAGAGAGCCATCAGCACAGAGCCTGAAGCCAGCTCCAACTCAAGAGCTGTGAGATCATGACCTGAGCCGAATTCAGACACTTAACCGACTGAGCCACCCAGACGGCCCTACTTTGTTCTTCTTTTTAAAATTGTGTGACTATTCTAGGATCTTTGCATGTTCTTATGAATTTGAGAACCGATTTTCACAAAAATGTTTTCTGGAATTTTGATTGGGATTACACTGAATCTACAGATCAATAAGGGGGAAATGAACATCTTAACAACATCAATATCTTTGTTTCCTGTGACTTTGCTAGACTCTCTTATATTCCTGATAGCTTTGGTAGAGTTTCTTTGTGATCTCCTATATACAGAGTTAGGTCACTAAAAACATAAGGTTATTTTTTCCTTTAAAAAATGTATGCCATTTATTATTCTTTTTCTTATTGTATTATCCAGAAATTCCAGTAAAATGTTGACTGAAAGTAGAGAAGGCAGACATCCTTGAATTATTCCTAATCTTAGGGGCTGTTTAGTCAGTTCAGGCTGTAACAAATATACCACAGGCTAGGTGGCTTAAACAACAAACACATATTTCTCACAGTCCTAGAGGCTGGGAAGTTCAAGATCAAGGCACCAGCAGAGGTGGTATCTGGTGAGACCACTCTTCCTAGTTTGCAAATGGCCATCTTCCTTTTATATGCTCACACAACAGAACAGAGAGAGAGATCCATGTCTCTTAATTTTTAATAAAAGCATAAATCCCATCATGAGAGCCTTACACTCACCACCTAATTTAACCCCAATTACTTTTCAAAGGCCTCAACTTCCTAATACCATCTTACTGGGGGTTAGAGTTTTAACATATGAATTTGGGGATAGAGCATGCAGTCCATAAGAGCGGCAAAACATTCTATCACTTAGCATTCATTATGTTAGGTAGATACTTATAGATGTTCTTTATCAGGTCAAAGAAGTTTTCTATTCCTAGTTTTTATCATGAATTTCCAGTCTGAAGGCAGTTACCTGGACGATTCTGTGGGATGGTCCATCCTTTTGTCCTAGTCAGGACATCAACTGATTGGATGAGGTCCATCCAAATATGAAAGGCATTTCTGCTTTACTCAAAGTCTACTGATTTAGATGTTAATCCTATTCAAAAACACCCTCGCAGAAACACCCACAAAACTTGACCAACTATCTGATCAATATATCCCAGTCAAGCTGACACATAAAATTCACCATTACACATTCTTAGGTTTTTCTCTACCATTGTTTATATATAATTGCTTTCTATTCTCTTAAACCTGACTGTAATCTCACAGTGTCTATTCTCTTATTTGTTAGTCTTATTATCAATGTCTTTCATTTTTAAAATAGCTTTTTCTCTTACATTTACTTCCTGAGCACTTCCAAGGATCTTTTAAACAGACTATATAAAGGTAGGCCCTTAGCGTACTACAGACCATATCTCTGGGGTCATGGTCATATTATCTGGGTTTGAATTTTAATGCTACATGTTACCAGAGAATTTCCTAGGAAAATAATTTAAACTCTATAAATCTGTATCCTAATCTGAAAAAGGGGGTAACAGTACCAACTTTTAGAATTGTTGAAAAAATTGGAAAGATAGGATATATGTAAAGCTCTTAAAACAATATGTGGCACCTATGAGGCAGTACATGAATATAAACTAGAAGTTTTTTCATTCACTTTGGATTTTGTGTTTTTCCACCTTACATTTTATACTTCTATTTCATATGCTCCGTGTTTACTCCTTTCCAATTATTATTATTTTACAACATATGTAGTTCTTTCAAGTCAAACCATTCTTGAACAAAGGGTGGGGATTAGTGACTTTTATTACACTTTTGTTTTATTATAAGAAATGGCCAATTATCCAAGGATATTTGTTTCCTTCTCCAACAGAAGAGATGTCTATAAGACACCTGTCCAGGCCCAACTCTTGGGGTGGGGATGCATTCACACTTCTCCCCTTACTCTTGACTAAATTCAAATAACCTAGTATGGGACTCCTGAGCCAAAGCTAGGAAGGGAATCAACCGGAGAGTTTCATCCACTTTGGTATTTTCATGAGCAAGACATAAACCTGTTAAGCCACTGAGAGTTAGGAATTGTTTGTTTCAAAATCTAGTGACATTTGACCTAATAGTGATTCTCATGAAAAATACCGATTGAGGACAGCTGCTTACACAATTCTTCCATGTTTTCATCTGGTTGAAAGTTCATGATATTTGGCAACTATTGTTTGTGAATTTGGTTGTGATTGCTTTTGGTTACTATCTTCAATCAGGATGAGATTAGGGTCTCTTTGTTTCTGCTTAATTATTTGTTTCATTTTGGGGGTAAGAACATGTCACATTAGGAGGAAAAGAAATAGTTTCAATCAAAAAATTTCAGTTATGTAGTTCTGGGTTGGTACAGAATTACAGACTGGAAATTACTTTGCCTCACTTTAAGTAATTGTGGTATTGTCTTTCAACTTCCAGTATTGCTGCTAGGAAATTTCAGGCTATTCTGCATCTTTACTATATAAGAAACCCGATTTTTTAAATATCAGAACAGAAACTCACCTTAAATAATTCTGAGAATTTTTC